CATCCTGTAGCAAGAAATTATCACCTATTGCTCTAGCATAAGGGTGCACAAAAGCATCAAAGGCGTCATTTCTATAGGCCTGAGCATTCATGGTTCTACGTGGAAAGACATGGAGGTCTGTGTATCCACCCAAAGAGATACCACCCCAAACACACACACTGCCTCCTCCATATGGACCTCATTTTCACAGATGTTTGATGGATGATAATGAGTTCCTGGTTTTCTCCAAATCAAACAGCACCTGCTGTCGATCTGAAGGCTAGACCTGAACTTATCCACAAGGAAAACAGCCCTCCATTGATCAGCTATCCCATGGACATCTTAGCCCACCTTAAACATTCCCTTCTATGATGTGACGTGAGTGGCATGCAAATGGCTCGTTGCCTCGCATACAGACCTCTGTGAAGCCTTCTCAAAGGACTGATGTTGGCCCTTTCAGTGTCTGCAGTAAGAGAGAATCTGAGTTCAGGTTCTATTCCTTCATGCACATAACAACAAATATCAGTCATCAGCACTTGTCGTAGCAATTGGTTATCCTTGGCCAAACTTCCTGGATGCCAAATCTGTGGTTAGAATTTGCTGCCATAGTCTATAAACCACAGAACTCACATTTAGTCATCTCGCCATTTTTGTCTGACTTTGCCCTGTCTCTAGTCTCCCCAACAGCTCTCCATTGCAGTTCTTTGAGCAAATGATGCATGGAAGTCATTATTACAAATTGGCTATCCCAGATTTCTTATCTCATTATCATAGTGAAATTTGTAGGCTAATACTGAAACATGCAATTTTATTTTCCTTGCTTATGACGTATTTCAATTCCAGCACCATCAATTTGCATACAAGCATACTGCAGTTTTACTCAGCAATTCTTATTTGACAATATATTCAAATTTTATACTAATTGGCTTATTTTTTAATCAGTTATCGCTATTTTTGTCATTTTTTCTTAATTTTTGGAAACCAGTGTATCATGAAATTTAATAAGATGACATACAAACATTATAAAGTTAAAAATATGAAATTGTTGTTTGTGAAATATTTATTATATTTAGGGAACCACCATATATATATATATAAAAAAGTTCAGTGTTAACATTATTTTATTTTATTCATACTTTCAAAGTAACATGTGAAAGCAATTTTTTTTTCACTAAAACATTTTCTCCAAATTTACAGATATAATTTCTTGTTTATCCAAAAACATTCAGATTAGCTGTTATCATCATCATCATGAAGTATGGTAACTGGCTATAAATTAAATTAAAAACTTCCAAAAGTATCTGCATGCAATACTCCATACAACAGACTTAAGATTAAAATACTTCAAAAATTTTCGGATGGTTCAGAAAGTTTACCATCAGTTTAAAAAGATATTATAACTGCCTTTTAGTGCTTATAAATTTACAATATCCACTAGCTGAATGATAGATTAATTATAATTTGGAGGAAATCATCAGACAGATATTTTCTTTTACTAGAAGTTTAAGTGATATATGAATTGATCAGCTGTTTATAATCTCCTGATTATATTTTTGCATCATCCAGTAAATCACCTGTTTTAAATGTTGCTCAGTCTCATGTGTGAAATGATTCTCAAACTAATAATTCATTCATCAATATTTAGGACATTCATGTTCAGTTATTTTAATGGTTGATGACAGAGAAAATCTTTATTCCTTTTAAATGCCATTACAAAAAGTTGAAATTTGTGTATTCCAGTAGAATTTGCTTAAGAAAAATATTTCTTAAGATTCTTGATATCAGCTGCAGCCTTTTTAGTAAAAGTTGCCAAGGTATTACAGAGCACATATTGTCGTAAACGAAAAGTTTCATAAACATTGAGAATTAGATTTGAGGATAATTTTTTTATGTTAATGAGCTTGATATATTCATCTAAAAATTATTTAGCTACCTCAGTATAAGTTGAAGCTTTTCTGCCTAAAATTGCATTCTGTTTTATACCATTGATTTTTTTCTAATTTGGTTAATTAATTTAAGCTGCCCACAGTCAATTTTTAATAGCCCATTTCTTCATGAAATATTTTGAATTGAATCAATAGCATTGGAATTATACATGGTAGTCCCTTATTATGAAGTTGTCTCACTTGTTCAACTTGTTTCTCATTTCTAGCATGAATATTTTTATACTATTCATTAAAATTGGGGAGTCAAAAATCTGCAAAAATTTCAATTTTTTTCCCTTTTTTTATGTAATAAACTGTGGACTTTCCATTACCATATTTCTTACTTAATTATGCCACAGATATGGCTTTATCCCTTTTTTGCAACAATTCTACATTTTGTTTGATCAGCATTAAAAACATACTTTCACTCTGTAGATTCTCTTGCAGCTGTAGAATTAGAAACCTTTTTGACATAATCAAAAAACACAAACACTGAAACTTTAATTTTGATAAAATAGCAGTAATAATAATAGAGTAAACAAAATAATAAGCTAGATCAAATCAGAAAGTTAAGGAACATCTGACTTTACTTGCTAGGTAAGCTTAAGTTCTTGAGAACCTAATTCTTTCTCTCTTGTTTCTTGCTATGCCAACAAAAGAAAACCAGTACGTGGAACACACCACTCCAAACAACCATATCTTAAGGCTTCATTTATCATGTACAGGGATGGTAAAATAGATTAAAACCCTCACACACTTCAAGAGGTGAAACTGTGGTTTGCAGCACGCAAGATGATTCGAAACTTATCGTTGATAATGAGCGTCTCTTGGGGGGGGGGAATCTAAGAAAAATCAATTTATGGTATATTTGCTTTTTCTTCAATATTACGTTCTCTCTCCCTGAACTGTATGGGAAAACAAAGAGTGTTTGGGGAATGTCTGGAGATCATTCTAGTAATCGAACATCCAGATTTTATGCTGCAGAAAGTTTTATGATGCAAAGTGATATGCCATTCTGCCCCTTAATGAAATGTTTCTTTACTTCATTCTACTCGAGAATTAGCATTAAAATTAGAGGTTTACTGAAACTATAAAACATGACAAATAATTTGAGTAATTTCCACTTAAGCTGTATATAAATTACTTTCAACATCTTCTTGGTTAATATGTGCTGATGTTAACAATAACATTAAGTAAGTTGTTATTGTTAACAATAACAATAACAACTTACTTTGAAGCCAAAATTATCATATATTATAGCAAACATCAAACACTATGTAGTTATCATTTTACAAAATAAATGGTTGGAAAACTAAGTTAAAAATGGCTGTTAGATGTTTAAAGAAACAGATAACAGTAGCTCTTTTCATTTTAGGTTTTAGTACTTAAAATGATGAATAGAGAGGATACTGTGTTATCCTGAATTAAAAAAAAAAAAAAAAAAAAAAAAAAAAAAACTTAAGCACTACCTTTATTTTTACTGCTATCAAAATTTTATTTTTTAAAACTTTTTATGTACTATTAAAATGCATAAAACTTGTAAATTAAAGGGACTGAAGCAAACAATTATTAGCTTCATAATTTGGATAATTTATAAAAGCATCTAAAAACTACACTGGTTATAATCAATTAAGGAAAAATTCCAAAAGTGATGGTTATTACATTTAGAATTTAATGAAACTGACCTGCAGTTTACAATACACGATAAGGTATAAAAAATAACATGAAAAGAAATTACCAAATAATTATGGAGTTATAAAAATTAGCATATATATAAAATGAACAAATCAGAAGTGTTGATTTGGTATAGGAAAATTACTTTCAATATGGAGTATGATCTCCCACAGAAGCAATACAATACATACAGCAATGTGCGATGCTGTTAATTGTGCATTCTGTCAGTTCCATAGAAAGTGAGAGCCATTGCTCTTGCAAAGCAGCTGCAAGTGTGGCAAAGCTCTAAAGAGGAGAATTGAGAGCAGCTATACATCTTCCTAAAGAATCCCAAACATGCTTAATAAGGCAGGCCCCCAGGGATCAAGCAGGCCACTCTATGTGTTAAATTATTTGCTGCTAAATATAATCATCTACGATTAGAGTCCTGCACATTCTAGCAGAAAATTATCACTTACTGCCCCGGCATAAGGGTGCACGTAAGCATCAAGGATGTCATCTCTAAAGGCCTGAGCATTCATGGTTCCACATGAAAAGGCATAGAGTTCTGTGCATCTACCCAAAGAGATACCACCTCAAGCACAGATACTGCCTCCTCCAGATTTCACGGATGTTTAATGGATGATAACGGTTCCAGGTTATCTCCAAATCAAGTAACACCTACTATCACTTGGAAGCTAAACCTGGACTCATCCGTAAGGAGAACAGCCCTTCATTGATCAGCTATCCGATGGGCATCTTAGCCCATCTGACACTTTTCATTCTATGATGCGACGTAAGTGGCACACAAATGGCTGATCACCTCGTATACAGACCTCCTGCATGAAGCATTCTAAACATGGTTCATGTTAGACACCAACTTTCCAGCGGCTGCAAGGAAGAATCTGAGTTGAGGTTCTATTCCTTCGTGCACATAACAACAAATATCAGTCATCAGCGCTTGGCGTAGAGGTTGGCAGTTCTTGGATGAACCTCCTGGATTCCGAATCAATGGTTAGAAACTGTTGCTAAAGTCTATGAACCACAGGAGGACTCACATTTAGCCATTTGGCCACTTCTGTCTGACTCTGTCTTGCTTCTAGTCTCCCAGCTCCCCATCGCAGTTCTTTGGTCTAATGATGCCTGGAGGTCATTGTTACACCTGGCTATCTCAGATTTATTATCTCAGTTTCACAGCAAAATTTACAGTCTTGCTCTGAAACACGCAATTTTACGCTCCTTGCAGATGACGCATTTCGACTGCAGTGCCACTAATTTGCATACTAGTTTTTCTCAGCAATTCTTATCTAACAACATACTGAAATTTTATATGGATTGGCTTATTTTTGAACGAGTTATTGATATTTTTGTGATTTTTCCTTAACTTTTTAGAAATTAGTGTTTGTTTATTTATTTATTTTTGGCAAATTTTAGAGAGCATACCTGTTGTTTGATGTGGATGCTTCAATAATACTTCAGGTGCTCTAAAACCTGGTGTTCCACCTCTGGGTGCTTCTTCGGGATCTCTAAAATATATTTTTCACAAAAAGTTACAATGTGTTTATAATTACATATCAGTATATAATGAATGCCTGACAAAGCAAACTGAAATTCTAACCAAAAAAATTTTCCACATAATGAACTTGGTCTCAAATTATGAATCATATGTGAAGTTCATTAAATATTAAACACAAAGCCAAGTTTGTTTCAGTGACTGTTTTGTCAGGGTGTAATGTAAAGACAAAAATATATCTGTGATAGAAAAAAAAAAAAAAAAAAAAAAAAAACACAGCCAGTACTTAAAGATATTTTTTAATATTACACTACTAAAGAAGTGTGCCATGAACAGAAATATGAAAAAATCTAGATAGTTTTCTAGTGGGAATATGAAACTTCTAAGTGTATTCCAATAATCAATGCTTAAAAAAGGTGGGTGAGGTTCAGACCAACAGACAAATACACTCTGTCCTAAGAGTTTATAGACTCATGTAATTTACATGTAAAAAAAAAAACAGACATGCATAAAATTACCCAATTAAAATATGTTTATTTAAAACACGTGCCTTGAATATGAGTAAATATTTTACAAAAATTTCAATTTGTCTTTTAGAAAAAATAAAAACACGAAAAATATGTTTCCCAAAAGTTTACAGATAAATGTAATTTTATGCAAATTTGTTAGCAACAATCATGATGGGGAACTTATCCCTTTTATATGGTAATGCCCTCATTCAAACCTCTAATTGAAAAAAGAAAAAAGATCATTTGAACTGCTTTTAAGTATGCTAAAGCTATACAACTTACTGATGCTGCAGTTAATAGTATTCTGAATTTTAAATTGCATGGTAGGTCTGTTAAAAGCACATTCACAAAGACACCCGAGAGATGGACAGTCACAGCAATGGGCGAATACAAATGACTTCGACACAGAAAAGGTGGACTCACCAAATTACAAGGGCTTGTGAATTGCAAATATCCAAAAACACTGTTCATAGCAAATAAAAAAAATCTGCTTATATGACTCACGTAAAAAAATTGTTCGATCATTACCGTTCTCAAAGCTTCACAAATGAATGATATTGCAGCAGGCCGGTAACTACATGCCATATGATGATGAACGGATCTCTGTAATTTTCAGTGATGAAAAAAAAAGGAATCTAGACAGTCGTGACAGATTTTCATATTACTGGCATGAATTGTGAAAAGAGCTTTGGAGCTATTCCAGTAAGAACAGAGGAGGTTGATCTGTTATGTTGTGGACAGCTTTCAGTTTCAATGGACAAGTGGGTTTCACCTTTCTAGATGGTCGGCAAGATTCATCTAAATTCATAGAGACGCTAAGAGACCATCTTATGCCATTTGCTGAAAACACTGAAGAACAAAATTGAGTGTACTAGTATGACAAAGCTCTCAATCATACGTCTAATGCTACAAAATTACTTAGACATGATAAATGCCACTGTTTTTGAGTGGCCCTGCTTTTAACTCAATTGACAATGTGTGGGGTATTATGTCTCGAGAGTTTATGAGAATGGAAGGCAGTTTTCTTCTACGAGTGCCTTAAAGGGAGCCATTAAGAGTGCATGGTACAATGTGGAATCAAAGTTATTACAAAACTTAGTTCTCTTGATGGAGAAACGTGTATTCAATGTCATATGGAATAATGGAGCAACTTTAAAGTATAAAGTAATTTGAAATTGATCATAAGTTGTTAAAATGCTAATATTCAATAAACTTTTGAGTTGCGTACTCTTTTTTGTTTTTTAAATATAAATTGCTATTTTAGTTGAATATTTACTGGAAGGTAAGTCGAATGTGATGTAAATAGATTTGCATTTGGTGTTTGTGTTCCTTTCCATTTTTCTAAAACACGTAATACATTTGGGTCTATGAACTTTTGGGAAACAGTGTGTACAGTTTAAACATGCCAGTTGCAACAATGAGCATGCATGCACCATTCGATCCAATTTAATGACAAAAGAGGGTGGCTAGACATAAATCATGCAGTAGGGATATTTTCCTTATTTTTTTCACTGTGTTCAAACAGCATAGATTTAAGAAGATAGAAAATTACTTTTAAGAAATCTAAGCTAATATGATGATCATCATTTGTAATTAAATGTTTGATTACACTGAGTTTAATTTTTTGCATTTATATATTTATTTATTTACTAAGGAAATACTGATTACATTATCTCCTAATATAAATTTAGTAGAATGTATCAAAATGAGGTAACCCAAAAGTATGCAATTAATTACATTATAATGCTTTTTGATTTTTTGGCTAAAATCTATGTGCATTATTATACATAATTAAAGTGAAGGGGGAACCAAATTATTTTAGAAAAAAAAAAAAAAAATAAATAAATAAATAATTTTTGCATAAAAGATCACAGTACTGGCTAATGTCACATTAAATCAATTACAATCAAAGGAAACCCCACTTAAACGTGATAAATACCTGCTGACCTTTTATTTTAAAAAAATATATAGAAAGAATATTTCTGCTAAAAATGCAGTTCCATCAATTTAAGGATCTTAAATTTAAAAGTAAGCAACAAAATATGCACTCCTCACATAAAATTCCTATGTTATGGAAAAAAATTTCAACATTTTTGGCTTTTCACCATAGCACATCAATATATATCGTCACATTTGCTTTTGCAAATATGAAGGCGTGAAAGACAACTAATGACAGGATCACTCCATGACCCACGGACTTTCCTTCCTTCAACAGTAATTTTTTTTCTTTCAGGAGAAGGGCAATCTCATGTGATCTTCTCACTCTGTGCCACATAATTAACACCCATTCTGCACAATTCAAATACCAGCCAAGGTTGTATTTGACAAGATCAAACTATAGTGACATCCCTATCCAGCTGAATTAACAAACTGGATGATTTATTCTATGACAATGCCATTCATTACTTCAGCATCAATCTAAAGAAGAGGAAAAAATGAGTCATTTTAAATAATATCTTGAAACCTGGACACAGCCCCCCCCCCCCCCGAAAAAAAGCAGATGCACAAGAAAATCAAAGATAGATAAACCTTCTGCCTCCACTGAAATACTAGAAACATTGAAGCTAAACTAAATAAAAAAATATTGGACATAGAGTATGTAAATCTTTTCATGACTAAAAAAGTAATAAATTCATAGCATTTCCACCACTGATATTGCTTCTCATTATAACTGTTTTATAATATTCTGAGGTTTTGGACAGGCCTTGGGGGTTTATTAAAATTATTGCTACATTACCCTATGAGAAATGGAAACCTAAGCACCATCTTGGAATTAGGAACTCCATTCATTATGGAAAGCACTTATCTATACAGTCAAAAGTCGTTAATTTGGACACCCATAATCCGGAATGATCTATAATACGGACCTCAAAGCTAAAAACTTTCTGTGCATGCGCCGCGTTGACACATGTGCGTAAAACCTTTTACATCTGCGCATATGCGTGTGCGCAAGTGCAGAATACGTTTTCGCGTGAGCGTTTTATGTATAACGGATGGTATAAGCTAAAATTATCTAATTATCTATTTCAGTTAATGTTGATGATTGAGTTGTCCTTAATTTTCGAATTGGATCCGGCTTATTATTTTTTGCAGCCTGTAAGAGCAATACTATAAAACTAACTTGAACTTTCGATTATGTCAAATAGAATTTCCGATTCTGGAGCTCCCAAAGGATCATACAAAACGAAAGTATGTTTCGATGTCCATCAAACAAAAAGTGGAATTGCTGCAAAAAATGGATAAAGACATGAAGAATGTGACAGAGAGGTTAGTGAAAACGAAAAAATTTCGATTGACAAGTTAGTCGGTATTCTCGGCACAGCAATTAATGGGGCTTGAACAGCGGAACTTTGTAATTGAACAAGAAATTATGTCTGTTTATAGAATTAAAGAGAAAGTATTATCACATAAAACGAAGCAACTTAAACAACTTACATTGAAAGAAATGTTTAATAAAGTAAACAAATAAATATTTAGCTTTTTTTTTTTTTTTTTTTTTTTTTTTTTTTTTTTTGTGTGTGTGTAAATTTTGATACTCTTTAGATCATAATTGTTCTTTATTTCATAAATTACAGTTTCATGTTTTTAATTTTAGAATTTCTGCATGCCATCATCTTAGGAGATTTAAACTGATGATCTATAATCCGGAATCGCTGAAGTCCCGACGAGTCCGGATTAACGACTTTTGACTGTATACACATTCACAAATGTGCCAAAAGATGCCAGTATGCTTTCCATTTCTTTATACACTGATCATATGCATATTATTCAAGTTTCTTTCCAGTGTAGAATTTTGTGAAACAGTATCAACATAGCAACTAATGAAAACTTCATTAAAAAAAACTTTACTTTTATGGTACTCCTACTTTTATGATAATTTTTTGAGAAAAATTCTAATTTGTAAAAAATACTTTTTTACCTTATCCCAAAATCATTCAACATGAACTGTCAGAAAGCTTACATATTCATAACATGTAATACTTGAAGAATATTACCTTATATTTAACCCAAAAACAAAGCTGAAATTTGTCCTTTTCCGTTTTGCCGGCGCAGGCAATAAAGTCGCCAGTAATGGTACAACCGATGCCAAACGGAATATCCTCGATGGTAGCCTTTAACGCCTCATTTTCAAAACAAGTCACAGCCATTTCTTCTCAGATTGATTGTTTCTTTCAATACTGGCATACAATTACATAGAATTTTTACCAATTTTATACCCTAAGGGCATTCGTGGTAAGTCAATTAGGATGCAATTACACTGCTCACCCGAAGGCAAAAATATAGAAAAGGCAAAGTCAAGGGTTCATTAATTCTAATAAGAATGCACTAGTGAAGTAAAGCACTGAGGTTTTACATAATTTCTGAGTAAGCTATTCGTACCAATTGAAATAATTCTTGCATTTAAACTTGTATTCCAAATTAAGATTTAACTTGAAATTAATGTAGATAATTACTGAGAGAATTAGATTTTTGTAGCGTAGTTTACGTGATGGGGTCACGTGATATGAACCGGCAAATCAAGATGTTGAAACATGTAAGCATAGTAAATTCTTAAATTAATGCCTTTTTACAAATTTATATTCTTCATTTATTGGCTTTTTACAAAATTTTAAACGATATTAAAATGTTTATGCCTTCAAAATAAAAAAATTCTTAAAAACTAACATTTGTTAAAATTTTTTAGGTGTATACTGTTTGTTGTCGCCAATAAAGTCTGCTTGGCGAGATTAGCGCCGGCGAAATGGAAAAGTACCCTGAAATTTTATGAGATGTATCTTATAAACTAGGTAAGAGTGATTTAACATAATCCATTTCCTTGAGTATTTTCCCCTTTTTTAATGCCCTGCATGCAGTAAAAGTATTGTAGCCATGAACAATTTAAGGTAGCATATTTTAACAGAAATATTCATTATGACCATTCCCAAACCCAATTGGAAGATTTTTTTCCATGACATTGCTACACAGGCATAGAATAAAGGACTTTTTTTTCCAAAACGAACTGAAAACCAATTTTTTTGGGGGGAGGGGGTAATATCTGTATGTAGGTACATATATATATATATGTATCCTGCATAACTCAAAAACAAGTAGCCATAGAATTTAGTTGTGCACCTTTTTTCTTCATTGGAATTGGGAGTACCAAAAGTTATATATATAATATGTGTGTTTGTGTGTATATATATACTATGTATATGTATGTGTGTGTATGCGTAAAAAAAGTATATATATATATATATGTATGTGTGTGTGTGTGTGTGTGTGTAAGATAAAAATGTATTAATCAGAATTATAATATAACTATAAACATTAATTCTTCCTCTTTATTCTAAAATCGTAATAACTTATCTGCATTGCGTCATTCAAATTAATCATGAGATCTTACGTAACCGTTAATACCAGATGCCTCTTGACGACCAATCACTGAATTGTAAACCAAAACTTTTCTCTTCGCATGCTCCATCTTTCATAACTACGCACTTCAGCTTTAGCTCTATACTGTGCTAAGATGTAATTTCGCTGGCTTGCTTTCTATCTCAACAATATTAAAAATGTAAATCTTCTGTGTAAAGGTATGATTAGAGTGCCAAGTGATTGTGGCCACAAATATCAATTGGAAATAAAAATGGAATTAAAACTGCCTCGACTGCCAAGTTCTTTAAATACTACGCAAGCAAAAATCTTCTTCAATATGGGTCTTTAGATCACCGCATCTACAGTGTTCCGTCATTTCCTTTGCTCTTATTATGACATATACACACACACACACACACACACATATATATATATATATGTATATATATGTATATGTGTGTGTATATGTGTATACATATATATGTATACATACCTCCATTACTCGGATTAAAAGTCCTTACTTGACCTTCATTTTCGCAATCATTGGTCATAGTCATACATTTCTAATTACAGACATGTCTACCTCATGAAAATATTCATGTTTTGACAATGTCAAATTTAAGGGCGTACAAAGAAGTCACATTCACATCAGATTTTTCTTAATATAATATATTAAAGGCTTTCTTTAAATATTTCTAACAGCAATAAAAAAGCCAAGAAACAAGTACAGCTTTATATATAAAGTAACCAAACTAGGCAATTTTTGTTATGGTAATAATTTAAAATGGAAGTTACATTCTTAAAAGTGAATGATCATGTTATTACTTTACGAAAGAAAACTCAAAATCAATGAAATTAATTAATTAAATATAATTCTGGAATAACATTAAGATAAAATATATATTTCATGTTTCTGTAGCTCTAAGTAAAATTATTTATATGCCTGTACCTGCCAGTAACTGATGAGAGATTAAAAGCTGACAGCTTAGGAATAAGCAATTTAAAAAAACAATATGACATGTCAAATTTCATTGCCATAAACTGAAGTAATTACATGCACAAAATCTCTGCAGCATTATTAGGGAAATCAAAAATAAAAAGGGGTTCCGAATTTGATTTTCAGAGTAAATTAAACATCTTTACTAAACATTAAAGCTAAGTTCCTCATATTCTGCTGTAGTAATGGAAAGTTTGTATCTGCTATGAGAGTAATAAATTCCTTCTTCCTTTAACCCCTTCAGGACGTGTGCATCATATATGCATCAGCAGCTAATCCTCTTACGAGATGGCATGCCACTTAGTGGAACTCACATCGGAGAAGGTGTATTGCACCAGTGCAACACAGTGTGCGATGCATCAGTGCGTCACCCAGCTGCTAACGACATTTGGGACTGATGCATATATGGCATACCTGTCTGCATACGGTTTTCAGTTCAGCAACATGCCATTGCGAAGGAGTTAAATACCTAAATGTTCTAAGAACAGCAGAATTTTGAGCTACCATATCTTGCAATTATCACATTCTTTACTCCTAAGCATCATAACATTTTTCATTTAACAAACAGAGTATCAATTTTCAAAAATTTAAATCCTTACCTCCCAAGGCAAATACTACATACAGTTGGTTTCCTGAAGCATCCACACTCTTTTCCCTTACTACTCTTAGAATGCTTTGATCCATCCCGCGGTTTGGAATGTAATGGGTATTGCTTAATGGAAGACTTCGTATGAGCATTTACGACTGGTAATGTTTCATTAATGGCTGTACTTGTAGAAGGTGCAAGTTTTCGTTTTTTAGATGCATTTTCCTGCTAAAATAAATTCAAAGCATAATCAAATAGTTCAAAGATTTCCACGGGAGAAAAAGCTTATCATTAGAGATGAAAATAAATTTTATTAAATTAACTATACATAATTTTAAATACATTAAATTCCATAAAATTTATTAAAACAACTTGATAAATTATCTTCAAAAATAACTTTGTAAAATATTTCAAAGTTTTCATAACACTTCTAAAATTTTATTTTCATAACATTTAACATTATTAATTTCATAACACTTCTAAAATTTTATTTTCATAACATTTAACATTATTAATTTCATAACACTTCTAAAATTTTATTTTCATTTTCTCAGAAGGATTCAGAAAAAGATAACAGATTTAAAAAAATTTTTTTTCACATTATTATTATTTAGTTTATAACTTTTAACATCATAAACAGAATCATATTTTATAAAACTGACACTGCTCAAAACTATCAAAGTACGATTCATAAAAAGCTTTATTTTTACAACTTTGTTTAAATGCATACAAAATTCCATAGGTTTATGATTTATTTTATCAAGCAGCAATTGAATTTCTCACATCATAATTATAAATAACTTTCACTAGAAAAATGGAGATAGCAATTTTAATAAGCCACTACAGATACAGAAACCAATTTACATTTTTCTGCGATTTTTATTATAGTAATCATAATTTACAGAAAATTTCTAGGACAGATCTTCATGAAACTTTAGTTTATATATAAATTGCCACAGATTCCATTTCATGTTGTAGCAACTGAACTATCTCTTAGAAAATGAAATCATTATTATTGATTTACTAAAAAAAAAAAAAAAAAAAACTACATTGAATATTTTATTGCACATGCCGACATACATAATTAGGCAAAATTTATCACATTATCTTGTATCAACCAGCTTTTCAAAATTTATTTTCTTGTAAATTTTGCAGTCTTTTATAAGAGTACCAAAAATTATGCTAGTTAAGCAACTTGTTGCCAGATTTGTATTTTATGTGCATACTCTTGGCAGATATTGGGTTACCATCTGAATTTGTCCACTTTATTATATCAAAAACACTCTCCTTCTTGGCATACGAAATCTTTTGTGATTTGCTAAATCTGGTGAGCAACATTTTGGTGATTTTAAGACCAATTTGTTTTAAAAAATTAATTCAGTTATTCAATCAAATTTTATAAAAAATTCTTTGACAAATATAATAATCTTATTATGATGATATTAGAATATTGATAATATATTAAAATTTCATTACCTCACAAAGATTTGCATGAGATAAAAGTATGTTTTAATTGTAGGAATATAAGTAAAACACAGCATATTTCCGAATGTAAGCCAATTTGTATATAAGCCAAGTGTGCGTATTTTGCACAAACATTTAACCAAAATTCAATATCTTTATATAAAACAAAATGAAAAAAATAAATAAACAAAATAAAAAATCTTGCAACATTCAACATGAGAGTGAGAATGTTGCCAAGCATGCAAAATGAGTGGAATATTTGCCAATCAAATTGTTGCAAAGTAAAATGCCAGGAAGCAATGACAACAGTTTTAATTCTGGTAACCCTATTTAAGCTAGCATATTTATTCCAGTCATTTGCTTTTGTGCGATCTGTGGTATCTGTGCTACATTATTTTCTATACCATTTTATTTTTTGTCTGAAGGGCGAGCAGGAAGAGGAATTCTTATACGGAAAATTACACATGATCACGTTTATTGAAAATTTAACAAAAGTATGCCTGCTTGACAAATCTCTGTATATGAAAAACAAATTTGAAAGTGGAGAAAGGTAAGCGCAAATTTTGCCAACATATCTTTGAACTAGACGATGCCGCAAGAAAACAGCGTTATAAAAAATTTCGTACATAAAACAACTCAATTTCATAAAACAAATATATCATTTCATTTCAAATTCATTTCTTTTATAAACTTAAGAAATATAAACTAAAAAAATTAAAAAGTGCGATATTTAGCAATTTATCACTTGCACCCGGCTTACGGAAAAATACCTATGTTTTTTTCCAAGATTATATAAATTGACCCCTGTAATTTAACTTCAGAAAGAAGTTGCAAAAATTCTTGGCTTCTACATGAAAATATTAAGCAGTTCTATTTCCTTCACTTATGTCTTAAAATACCTTTATCTTTAATTGTGACATTTACATAGAATAAGAGCTCAGCTTTAAGGAAAGTCCAAAAATGCTGAATGCTAGTGAAAGCTGCAGATAGTATCATGTATAAAAAAAATCTGATGTGTACACCACATGACTTTCCTGTACGGAATATTAAATTATATGCATTTTTCCTTGCATTTCATTTAAACTTATTGGATTAAATTAAATCTACTTCGCCAACAGCGCATAAACCACAATAGAATAAATGCATTCTTTAAAATTCACTCTAGTATTTGTTTACCATAGCGACACTCTGGCGCTAGATTCACTTAACAGTATTATATTTCGTTCATATTATAACTCATAATGCACAAATTTTTATATCATTTAAAGAATAGAATTATCTAATCTAATCGTTGCCACATGTTCTATTCAAATACTATATATAAAGCTAGAATAATGTATAAAGAAATTAAGCAAATAAAACAAAAAAAAAACAAAAAAAAAAACAGTTTTTCACAGACGATTGAGTATTTCTCATTCAATTAATTCAGTTCTCACTTTGCGAGAAGGCAAAAATACATAAAAACTCAAAATATCTATATTAAAAATTACGAAGTAAATCTTAAACACTTATTTTCTCAAAAAAATTCCAGAAAGGATTAAGCATGATTTAAATAATAAATGAAGGCGTTATCTTTGTTATTGCAAAGCTAAGTTTCTCTAGATTGGCAACAAAACCGCTATCCTGCTGTTTCAAATGTAAACAAGAGCAATGGCCCCCATCAAAAACTTCATTAGGCTTAGCGGCGCTTAAAACAACTTTAAAATTGTTGATAATTCTAAAAATATTGCATAGAGATTTACTAAAGGCATAAAAACATTAACCGGAAGATATAAACAACATAATTCAATCATTTTTAAAGCAAAAAATATACAATTTACAAACATGTAAGAGTAAAGAAACTGAGATCACTGAGCAGGGTAACAGAGTGGATATATATATAAATATATTTATATACGTTTGGTGTGGCCGATTGCAACCAAAATATAAGGTGCACATCTACATGTTATAGCAGTCCTATATACAAAATTTCAACGTTCAGAAGCTACTCGTTTTTGAGTTATGCAAGATACGTACGTACATACGTTCGTACAGACGCCACGAAAAATTCTTTTCAGAATTAATTTTAAAGCAGTTTTATAATTTTTTTTTTTTTTTTTTTTTTTTTTTTTTTTTTTAGTTTTTTTTTTTTTTTTTTTTTTTTTTTTTTTTTTTTTTTTTTTTTTTTTTTTTTTTTTTTTTTTTTTTTTTTAGGAAACAAGTCTTTTATTCCGTACTTCCGTACAGATATCATGCAAAAACATCGTTAAATTGCATTCGATAGCGGTCAAAATGGATATTTTCGTTGAAATATGCTGCCTGAAACTTTTCGAGATTACAATACTTCCTTTTTACTTTGTACAAGGAAGTAAAAATGCAACTCATGGCAGAAAAGCCAAATGAATGGGAAAAGAAATTTCTGTTTTAAATTTCTTTTTTAAAAAAAGTTATCTTATTTGTTATCAGCTTCAATATCAAAATCCTATATTTAACATTATGTTAGATTTTAGATAATAAAATGCATTTCAGAAATAAAAGAAGATATATTTTCATAGGCCTTAAACAAATGAAACTAAAGTACCTTATTCAATTATCAAACATGTCGACTATGAATGTTGACAGAGATCCCTCACCAAATTTCGTTCCAGAAGAGGTTCGAAAGAATAAATTTCGATTTAGTTAAGATGCAAGTTACAGATAATGATACATAAAAAACTTCAAATTCTTGTAATAGGGTATGCCATGCAATTTCATAAATATTTCGTTGTATGCTGGTCCATTTAGCACAAGACCTAAATTTTACTGATTTTTCAAAATGCAAGATAAAAATACAAAAATTGCACTTAATTTTATGCTTCTTCACAAAAACTAAAGCCACATAAAAAAATTATCAGGTTTACATAAAACCATGTTAAAATCATTTTAAAGAATACATGCTTTGCCATAGCTTCACAAGTCTCTCGTTGCTGAATTTTTTATTTTAAAAAAAGGTTTCTATAATCTCATTCCTTTGGTAACACTGGTGGCAACAGCAAGGATGGGGATTCCCCGTGCTTGTAAAAGAGGAATTCCTTTAGTCTGTATATGTATTTCACAACAGTAAAGCTATTTGGTTCACGTGAACTAGTGCAGTATCAGTATTTTAGCAGCAAAGCTAGTGCAGTATCAGTATTTTTGCACTTACATAATTTTTATCTACATATTTGAATGTTTACTGGTAAGTTTTCAACATTTATATTTTTTGTTGTATTTTTATAATTTACGTAAATTTTTCTAAGATTTAATGATGTCAAAAGATCTGAAAAAAAATCAAATAAAAAGAAAAAAATATTTCTTGAGAAACAAAATATTAGATCATCTACATAATAGAGAAAGACTAACAGATGTTGCTAAATTTTACTCCATGAATGAAGCCACAATAAGGACAATTAGAAAAAAATAAAGACTTTATTAGAAAAAAGTGTAGCAGCTGGAACGTGCAGCAGTAAGAGCACAATTTCATATATAAGACATGATACAATGGAAAATAAGGAAAAGGCATTAGTGATATCGATAAGAAACCAAAATCAAAAATGGATTCCAATTCATACTAATGCTATTACAAATAAGGCTTTAAAGATTTACAAAGCACTTAAAGCACCAGACACCATCAACTTCATCAGATGAAAACAGGTATCTTTTCCCATAAGTCACGGTTGGTTTGAAAGATTTAAACAAAGACATTCTCTACATAATCTAATATTGAAAGGAGAAAGTGCATCTGCTGATTTGAATGCAGCACAACA